AAGTGTGTCTGTGTGTTAAACACACAGACGAGAAACACCGGCTGTTGTTATGCCCTGTGACGTTAAATTACTCCGTTCTCCTCTTGTAATTATGCCGTTACAAGCTTTCAAAGTTGTATTTATCATCTGGATTTGCCGAAACAAGTTTAATATTCTGAAAGCCAAGACTTTGTTTATTTGAAATCAGATGAAACTGTCACGGACCCTGCCGTGTTATCTAGATTACTATACGGTTTACATTAATAATTTCAGTGAGAGGGAGGGGGAGGGGAGCTGCTGCTGCTGCTGCGCTGAGGGGGAGCCGAGTGAGAGCGAGGTGCCTGTCTTCTTCCCTTTACAAGCTTCAAAACTGTATTTATCGTTTGTTTTTGGAAATAAAAGTTTCATATTCTGAAAGCCAAGACTTTGCTTATTTAAAATCAAACAAAAAACTCGAACCCCGGAAAAATATTTTTTTACACAAATACACGTATATTTTTGAATTGATCCATAAAAGTGGGGGGGCCAATGGCCCCTTGGCCCCCCTGCTTCCGGCGCCCCTGATCTGCAGCAGCGGGTTGTTGCAGCAATGTTTGCAGTGAAGGAAAGTTTGTTATCTAGGATCACACCCAGATTCCTTGCAGTCTGAGTCGGGGAAACAACAGAGGTGCCGATGTTGATTGTTAGGTCAAGAGTGGGACAATCTTTTCCCGGAAGGAAAAGCAGTTCACATCACAGACGTCCTGAGCTGATTCTGAGGATCCGTAAGGATTTAATGGATCATGTCGACATAAAACAATTTAAATTCTGATCCTTATATGTACTGTTCTGCATTTGTCCACTTCTGCTAGGGCTGCACCCCCATCACTCTGTAATATAGTAAGATCAGAGTGTTTGTGTGGTTCCAAAAACAGATATCATACTCACTAGCAGATTGTGTCACTTCAATTTCAGAAGAAAGAAACTTCACTTCATTCCAATCATACATTTATAGATTAAAATGTTTAACTAAAGGTTTTTTTATCCAAGATATTTGGTAAATAAAAATGTTTTAAAGATTTGGTTTTCAAATTTAGCAACAGATACAGTACATGTTTACTGTTTAATGTTTACTCAATACATTCTGCTGCAATGTTTTCATAAGTATCAGCAGATGCCTAATATTAATGCATCTCATTGGGATCGGGGTCAAAACGTTGACATATGTCTGTAGAGAAACGGTAGTCACTGAATATAAGTGCAAACCACAAACCAACAAAAATATATATGTTTTTAATATGTATATATATATTTATATTTTCTGTATGTGTATTGAAAATGTTTCCCATTGATCCCTCTAACAGCTACCTGTGAGGAGTTGATGTGGGCCTGCACCACCTGCAGAGTGGTGTTGATGTAGGACTGATGGTAGGGATGTCCGTACGGTGGCCTGTGCAGGTCAAACAGCACCAGTCTGCAGCTGCGGGCCGCTACCTCCAGGAACTGGGCCAGGGTGGGCACAGACTGGTTCTGGGCCCGCGAGCAATCCGGCTCAGACAGAGAGGACACGGTCCCAAAGGGGTCCCTCTGTCAGAGAGTGGGTGGGCAGCAGAGTCATGTTGAAGAAAAGATGCTAAGTCATTCCGAGAATGAATAGAAAAGAGAATACATCTTTATTGGGCTGTTTTTATTTGGATTATTTTGAAAATACATAGAACATGTTAATATTAATATTAAAGTAAAAAAAGATATAAACTTGAACACATGAGTTGATGTCAAGTGATATAAACACTGTGGTTGAACTGTTGACCATTTGCGTGGGTGCGTGTGCGTGTGCACGCGCGCGTGTGTGTGTGTGTGTGTGTGTGTGTGGGTGCTGTGGCTGACTTATGAGGACAGGGAGCTGGTCAATGCTGTGGATTCAGAGCTGCAGCAGACCTCTGAGAGCAAGCTTCTATTCATGAACTGACAGTGGGTCATATCACCAGACTGAACCTGCAGTGTGCAGGGCTGGACTGGCCATCTGGCATACCGGGTACTTTCCCGGCGGGCCGACGTGCCTTTTAGGCCGGCTTAACCAAATATACAGTATTCTTTCTGACGGCCCGTTCAGGTAGATGTACAGTATACTTTTCAAATCCTGTTTGTGTCCCCCCCCCACTTTCAAATGTTTTTCTTATTATTTTATCATGAGCACACCTCTGTGTCCTTCAAGTGAGAGAGAGAGAGAGAGAGAGAGAGAGAGAGAGAGAGAGAGAGAGAGAGAGAGAGCACCAGTTACGGGGATCGTTGTTGTCAGCATCTGGTGCTAGCTCGGAGCTAACGGATATAAGGAGCTGTTTCTACAACAAGCTCAGGTGAGGTAAAGGACTCTCTGAGTGATTAGATCTCTTCATTTTGCCCACAAAATTCACCAGATTGAAGCATTTAACTTAAAGATTTAAAATCTTCCCGGAGAGCATGCCCGGACCCCCCTACAGGATGTGAGGTCCACCCCAAAATGAAACAGGTTCACATGGTCAGGATTAGGGTTGCAAAGGAGCGGGAAGTTTCAGGTAAATTTCCATGGGAAGTTAAGGGGAATTTTGGAAATATTCCATATTTGAAATAAATAAATAAATTTAAGTTTTCTGCGCTCTCGCGGGAATATCTCTGCGAGCGAGATTAAGTTTCACTTTCGATTGCATGAGATGGCCCAGCGCAACACCTTCATCACACATGTTGGCACTTGTTTGTACAATTTTCAGGCGATTTGTAATCTGTTCTAGAAAAACGATGTGTTTTTGAATATCTTTGGAGTTAGGCGGTCCGCGAATGTTTTTTTTATTGGTTAAGTGGTCCTTGGGATGAAAAGGTTTGAGAAACGGTGCACTAGTTAATCGATCGCAGATGGCGTAAAAATACCTAAATGGGTCGCAAAATATACTTTGGCGGCCGTTAACATACCTGGGCGGCCCGCCCAAGTTAAGTCTATGTGTGGGAAACCCTGGCCTACATGATGTCATCACGCTGATTCATCATGTGGTGTTAATATGTGGAGATTATCCTGCTGAACAAAATGTGTAAGTTTCACAAACGTGTTTAACTCTGAGCTTGCTTACTGTAATATTCTGAAATCCAATGAAGAAATCCCATTGCTTTTTGTCGAGGAAGAACTTGCGATGCTCCTGTCCTGGTCCACCGACGGAAATACGCTATCACTGCACCGCTCTCTGAATACATCAAATTAACACGGTGGCTAACTTGACAGTTGTGTTGAGTTGGTAAATTACAAATAAGCTGTTTTTATCTGCAGAGCTGCTTGGTACGAAACCCCAGAGAGAGGATTCCTTTAAAAGAGCTGCTGGATCATCCGTACCTACAGCATTCACCTGCAGAAAGAGGTACACACACGGACCACACACACACATCATTGCCTACGTTGCTTTTCCCCCATGTGACTCTGACCTGTGCTCTCCTGTTTCAGGTCCAAGTAACAGAGATCTGCAGAAGATCTTAACAGACCTCGCCGCCCTCCAGTCTCCAGGCAGCATCATCCGAGCAGCTAATGTAAGAATTGCCTACAAGAACTTCACTTCTATCCAGGAGTTCCTTTAAATACTAATTCTGCTTTCTGCTTTAACAGAATCTGGCCAAAATGTGCAGCAGCGGCAGGAAGCTGGATGTTGCAGAGTGTGCAAAGTCATCAACATAACTATCTTTGAAACTGTGATGTGGATGGAAGTTACTATATTTTCTTTTTGTTAAACTAATAAAGTATGCACACTGCGCAGTCATTGTTCTTCTCTCATCCATTTATTCAGGGACATGAACCAGCATGGCAGTGCTGCGTAATCAAACAATGAGATATATAGCGCTCCGCGCTTGCTTATGACGTCACAATGGGACGTACCATTAAACATGGAGTAAGGGTGCACAATGGGACGTACCTTAAACATGGAGTAAGGGTGCTATTACAAAGTAATACTTAACACTCCCACTCAATCAATCAATGTTTATTTATATAGCCCAATATCACAAATGTTACATTTGTCTCAGTGGACTTCACAGTTTGTACAGAATATCAGTATGAAAATACCACACCCTCTGTCCTTAGACCCTCACATCGTACAAGGAAAAAAAAAAAAAACTTCCGGCGAAAACCCACAGTTTAAAGGGAAAAATGGGAGAAACCTCATGGAGAGCAACAGAGGAGGGATCCCTCTCCCAGGACGGACGGACAGACGTGCAATAGATGCCGTGTGTAAATTGAAAAGATAATACATTTGCAACATAGGTAGTCCAAATGTTTGGAAATGCATGTGTGTATAATAGGAAGATGAATCCACGAGGATATCCATCCAGGACTTATGATCCAGGACCACAGCCACGACTCGCGATCCAGGACTCGCGATCCATGACACAGGACCGCAGGATCATCCATGACTCCGGATCCCGGCGTATATAGACACCAAAAAGAAAGAAATTTGGGGAAGCTGGGTTAATCGGAACATGAGAGTACACAGGTATAGACAGAGAGAAGGAA